TTGAGTCAAGGAGAGGTTCGCTTCCGGAAGCTGGAAGAGACAGGGAAGGGGTTCTCCCCTGGAGCCTCCAGGGGGAATGCAGCCCTGCCCACACCTTGACTTTGGCTCAGCGAGACCCAGGTGGGACTTCTGAGCCCCAGAATTGTAAGACAATACATTTCTGTTGCTTTCGGCCACTGAGTGTGGGATAGTTTGTGACAGCAGCCACAGGAGACTGACACGCGGGGCCCAGCCTGTTGTTGGGTGGACGCGGCGGGCGGTGTTCCTCTCCCCGGCATCTGCTACCCTCCCTCCCTGGGGACGAGGCAGGACCAGTCAGGCTCGGGTCCTTATATGTGCCTATGGGCAGCCGAGCCCACAAGGTTCTCTGACGGCTTCGGGCAGGTTTCCACTGACCCTCTAGCACTTTCCCACCGGGCAGAGAGGCCGTCTGCAAGGCGTCCCCGCGCTGTCCTCTCCCCACACGGCGCCTCCTCGTCCTGTGCTCTCAGCCAGAGGCCGGGCCGCCTGGACTCCCGCGCACGCACGGTGTCACCGCGATTTACCTGGTTACCACGCATGCGCCCGGCCTTTGGAGGACGGCTGGCTCCTAAAGCCCAGCTGTTGCCTGTCCTGGGACAGCTCTACCACTAGATACGCAGCCAGAGAGGGGAAATCACGTGCCGCACGCAAGCGCCCCGTGACGTTTGCAGCAGTCGCACTCGGGAAAGCACCCGGAGGCCCATCGACGGGTGCACAAGCGACGAGCTAGTCCTACCAGGGGAGAAAGCGACAAAGTGAACAATAAGGTCGGCAAGAAGAATGAGCGAAGTGCAGGCGTGGCCACCACGTAGCAGAGTGACAGAGTGAGAGTGTGCACCCCGCTGAAGGGAACCCGAGGGTGACAAAGCTTGCCAGCGACAGAGGCGGGAGGTGGCGCGGCGGGGATTGGCCGGAACGGGGCCCCAGGGGGCCTGGGGGGCCCCCCCCCCGGAAAGACTCTAGACCTTGTCCGGGGCTGGTTGTCTGGATTTGCATAATTGGCAAAACTCACTGAACGGGACACTTACGGTCCGTGCGTCTTAATTAAATAAAATTAAATCAAAATAAAATTAAACAAAAATGAGGGCAAAATTAAGGAGCTGCTTTGGAGTCACGGAGCCACGCGCCTTGCCGAGATGCCCTTTCACTCCAGGCTCGCTTACGAGCTGCTAATCATAGCAGATCATTTTAGAGGCTGTCCCAGTACGAAACGGTCCTCCCAGGAGTGGGGAAACCCCCTTGGGCGTTGTGTGTTGCCGATTTGCTAGCATGTGGTTTAAGGCAAGGAATCTATGTTCAGAAGTAGGACAGCCTGTCTTTCTCTTTCAAAAGTGATTTTACGTGATCCAAGTTTGTTTAGGAAAACACACCTGGGCAGGTAAGTGGCCACGAGGCCGGTCCAACCGTTGCCTACTTGTGTGTCCAGGAATGGTGCCCCGGGCCACGCAGCGGCCATACCACGTCCTCATGCTGCAGCCCCGGGGATGAGGGGTCCCCTATTTTAGATGTGAGGGACCCCAGGAGACCAAGGTTGAGGGGTTCGGTTACTTGCTCGAGTTCAAACAGTAAAGAGAAGAAACAGAGCTTGACCCCGCTCCATCTGACAGGAAATGTGTGCACTCCACGGTCCCGCTGGACGGTCATCTCAGCAACATACAACTAGAGAAGGGGACGGTGCGGAGCGCTTGGGGCACCTGCACCCTGGGGAAGGTCGGGGAGCACCTGGAGCACGTGAACCCTGGGAAGGTTGGGGAGCACTTGGGGCACCTGCCCTGGGGAAGGTGTGGAGCACCTGGAGCATATACACCCTGGGGAAGGTCAGGGAGCACCTGGAGCATCTACACCCTGGGGAAGGTTGGGAGCTCCCAGGGCACCTTGGGGACATGCCCAAGACACGGTCCTGGGCTAGAAGGGCCTGGAAGGTGTGTACACAGCTGTGTGCGTGTGTGTGTGCACAGCTGTGGGGTATACGTGCATTTGCGCACATGTAAGAATGTATATGCATGTGTGCATGGGTGTGTGTTCACATGCAGGTGTATATGCATGGGTGCGTGTATGTGTGTGTAGGCACGTGTGGATGAGTGAATATATGTTTGAGTGGAATGTATGTGTATGTGCATGTGTTGCATGTGTGTGTGCGTGAATGGGTGTCTATGTATGTGTGGGGGATATGCACGTGTGTGGGTGTGTGTAGGTGTGCGTGCATGTGAAGTGGTATGTGCGTATATGTGCATATGTGTGCATGGGGTGGACATGTGCATGTGCATCAGTGGGCATGTGGAGGGAGTATGTGGGGGTGTGTGCACGTGTGTGGGTGGGTGTGGGTGTGCATGTATATGAGGTGTGTGTGCATACATGTGCACGTGTGTGCATGGGGTGGTTATGTGTGTGTGCATGAGTGGGTGTGTCTGTGAGGGGGATGTGCATGGGTGTGTGTGTGCAGGTGCGTACATCTGTGTGTGTGTGCGTGTGTGCAGACATGTATGCCTGGGGGGGGACATGCATGTATGTGAGGTATACAAGTGCATGTGTGGCAGAGGGTGAGGGGGATGTTGGTGGTGACGAGGTTAAGAGGTGCCCGGAAGAGGAGCCCATCGTGCCGGAAGTGTCGAGTGTCGACCGGGGTGAACACGCGACCTTGCCAGGGCACTCCATGTGCTGACCTGGCGGATGGTGAAATGGGCGAAGCCCCGCGTTGGCCGGGCTGACGGGGCAGGTGTGATCCCGCACCCTGGTCGTGCCGAGCCTCGTCCGGGCTTCAGGAGGGAGCCCTGGGAGTGAGAAGTCCGTGCAGAAGTTTTCACGGACGTTTCTCCCGGAAATCGCGACTTTGGAGAAATGACCCCAAGAGAACTGCAGCTGTACCAACACGTCCAAGTTATTTACCGCCGTAAAGACGGTTGAGAGTCCCACGGGTTAACAAAAGACGCCCAGCCCGGCACACTCCGGAATACCGCCTCGGTGAAATGCGGCTCAGCTGCCAAAGTGACAAGAAGGTGGCCACGTCAAACCACGTGCGAATTCGTGGGAAAGCGCAGGCCGCCTTGCAAGTGCCCATCAACGGACAAAACCCAGGAGAGCTTACTTGAAAAGATGTAAATATTTTAGTGTTCTCTCCACTTCCCCTCTTGCTTGCGTTTGTAATTTAAACAGATCTTGATTTACACTTTTGTGTTTCCACCCAGTAGAACGGAGATCAGATTCTGTGCCAAGGACGCGGAGGCACCGTTTGCTTGCAAAGCCCCGGGCAGGATGAGGTGGCTCCCACTGTATGTGCCGCTGTCACCTGCCTCCTTCCTCCCTGGGCTCGTCCCCCCTGGCGAGCCAGACACACAGCAACACCAGCCTGGCAGAGAGGCCGCTGGTGCGTGTCTGGGTCACTCCAGGGGGAGAGAAGCTGCGTGGGGTGGCGCCCGGCTGGCCCCTCCCCCATGGGTAAACTGAGGCTCGGTGATCAGGAAGTGGCAAGTGCGACTCCTGCGGGCCGTTGCCTGTTCGCCTCTTGTGTTCACCAGGCCTCTCCAGAGCATCAAAACCGCCAGGACGGGATGTGTAGAGACAAGAGCTTTGTCACAGGGACCGGGTGCGGAGGATTTCAGCGGCTGCTGAGGGCCACCGGCCAGGGGGAGACCTGGCAGGGCCGAAGGTGCATTCCGGTCTGAAGGCGGGAGAATCCCCCTTGCCGGGGAGGCTGGTCTTTTGTTCCATTCCTCCCTTCACCTGATTGGGTGAGGCCCCTGCATTGCGGAAGGCCACCTGCTTTATCCAGACTCCTGTGATGTGTGTTAATCTCATCCAGAAACATCCTCCCGGTTGACACATAAAAGTAACCATCCCGGGCCGGCCTCCCCTCTCCTGTGTGGAGGCACCTGTGGAATAAGCCCCCAAGATGACCACCCACCAGTGCCCTCTGCCGACCCTGCCCGAGGGCTGCCCGCCCCCCCCCCCGGCAGGCCACCCCAGCCCGTGGGGTCTCTTTCTTCCTTGTGTCAAATCTCAGATAAAATCAGAGGCCCCGCCCCCCGTTGGCCCTAAGAAGGTCTCGTCTCCCCACGACCCCTCTCTGGGAGTGCAGGACACCGCTTTGAATCTGAATTTCAGGGGAACGACAAATACCCCTTTAGTGTACGTTCCGTGCAGTATTTGGGGTTCACATATACTAAAAACAGCATCCGTGGTTTACCTGTGATTCAGATTTAGCTGGAGAGCCTGCATTTTTATGTGGCACCCTCGGCCGGCTGTCCCTGGACCGGCTGTCGCCATCACCACCTGGCCCAGACCTCCCTCGAGCCCCAGGCCCCCCTGCCCTCTGCGGCTCTCCCTGGGGAGGGACATCCTCGTCCGGGGTCAGCTCCAGCCCTCCCCGAGGCACACGGTCCGCTTATTGGCCTGAAGGGGGCTCAGAAAAATCTCAGCTTTTGGAAATCCGTATTGAAATCCCAAATCTGGCTTGGCTGGAGGAGGCGTGGGGTAGGTTTCCTTCCTGGGAGCGGGAAGGGCACCCCATTCTCACATGCACGTGGCCGTGGGGAGCCAGACCCCGGCGACAGCTGGGGCTGCGCCGTGCCCCCTGCTCTGTGATCTTGGGCAAAGATCACCGAGAGTTGAAACTTGAAAGACAGAAACAGCAGAGTACCAAACCAAGGGTGGGTCCCTGAGCTCAGGCAGTGGCCCGGCTCCACGTCCCTCCCCGGCCCTCGCTCTCCTGGAGCCCGTGGCCATGGGTGATGGAATAGGCCTGGCCTGGCCCTCACCCCACAGGCCTTCCCAGCAAAGGCTGCAGCACATGGCCGTCCTTTCACACGCAGATTGCGAGGGCGTGTGTCCTGTCGTGCCCAGGGAGGCAGGAGGCCCCCCGCCGGGCAGGGCTGGGGCTCGAGACATGGGAGCTGAGTGAGCGCGGGCCCCGAGGAGGTGTCCCCAGTGCACCCCGCACGTCCACGAGGCCAGTGCAGTGACCAGGGAGCCGGCCTGCGTGGTTTGCACGGGGTGGGATGGGGTGGGACCCAGTCCCCGCACCGCTGGTTCCTCCCCGAAACCGACCCCCCCCCGCATTCCTGGCTAAACCGGGGCCAGAAGAGGCAGCGAGTCCCTGCAGAGGAGGGGTGCCCTCCGGCTCGGTGACCCGGGACCCGAGGGCACATCCCACCGCGCTGGCCGAGTGAACTGTCCCCCCCACAAACACGCAGACGCCTTCAGGCCTTTGGTAAAGGGCGTCATAAATATATTTCTGTACAGACAGTATACAATAAATAGCCGGTGTGAGATACGTGAATCCGCGTGAAGCCTGTGCCCGCACCCGGGTGGGCCGGGAGGACCGTGGGGAGGTCCCGCTGGTTCTGAGGTAAAATTTTGTATGAACTCCTCCCTTGAGGCGAACCCCGGGCAGCCCGCCCGGGGTCACAGGGCAGTACCCGACTCCGGCCCGACTGCCGGTGGAGCCCCCAAACCCGCCACGACAGTCACCGGGGCAGAGAGGTGGACGGACGGCCCCCCGGACGAGGGCCAGGGCCCGGAAAGGGCCGGCTTCTCCCAGGGCTCCGGGAGGGGCGCCGGTGCCCTCACCCCGTCCTCAGCTTCAGCACCCGGGAGCGGGGCTCCTTCGCGCTGGAGTAGACGAGGTAGGAACCCGCCGCGGTGCGGAAGGTCTCCCAGTCTCTGCAGCCAAAGGTCGGGAGGCTGTGCACGGCCACGAACCCTTCGTACCCCTGCCACCTGCCGGAGACATACCGTCAGCCTGGCCGGCCACAGGCGGGGGGGGGGGGGGCGAGGTGCGCGGGGCCTCCGAGCGGGACCCTCCGGGACCCTCTCCGGGCCTGCTCCTGCCCCTCTGCCCCCACCTGCCTCCCCCCGGGCTGCACAAGCTCTCCGCACCACAGTCAGCCTGCAGAGAGGGAAACTGAGGCAAGAAGGGGGACACTGCCCTGTCCCAGACCCCACAGCTCCTCGCATCCATCCCGGATTCTGCCCCTGGTCCAGAGTGCCGTGCGGCAGGCACCCCCCCTCAACGGGCAGGGGGGACGTGGAGGGGATCCCGGAGGTTCCAGAAGGTTCATTGTAGGGGCTGAGCCAGGGCCTCCCCTACTCCTGGGGTCGGTGTTGACAGTGAGCACGTGCCCTCAAACACATACCTGTCACCACAAGGGCATCACCATCGTGCCGTCTGTTTACAGGGGGCTCTGCAGCCCGGCCCCTTCCCCACTTTGGGCCCCCACACCTGCCCACCATGTGTGGCCATCAGCCGTTCTAGGGTTTGCCTTCCAAAAGGGGTTCACTGGCGGTGGCTTCACTTTCTAGGGTGGGGTTCCCACGGCGGGCCCCTGGGTCAAAGGGCACCATGGTTTTCATTTGGAATTTGCCCAGAAACTTCCCAGAAGGGCCTGGGCAGGTCCTGTTCTGACGGGGAAGGAAGGGCGGGGCTGTTCCGCAAGGGGCGGGGCCTTCAAACAGCCTTTAAAGCTGGGGAGGCACCGTCCTCAGGCTTTGAGAGAGCAGCTCCTAATGTCTGCTCTACTCAGGTTTCTGATTTTCTTCCCGTGATTCCTGTTCGTGTCCTTGCCCATTTTTCCAAATTAAAATTAGCTTTGATTAACCTGTAGGGGTTCCTCTTCCATTAAATGTGTGGTCAAAAGTTTTCTTTTTAATTTTTTTTTTTTTTTTTTTTTTTGAGAGATTGAGAGAGAGAGAGAGAGAGGGAGACACAGAATCTGAAACAGGCTCCAGGCTCCCAGCTGTCAGCACAGAACCCGACACGGGGCTCGAACCCACAGACCGTGAGATCATGATCCGAGCCTAAGTCAGACACTTAACTGACTGAGCCACCCGGGCACCCCAATAGTTTTCTTTGTGAATAGGATGCCTTTTCCCCCAGAACCCTGAAGTTTAGGGTATCTTCCCGGCAACCTGGCACAGGCCTTGTTTACGGAGGCGTCGCGCCCTCCTGGGTAAGCTTGTGGTCAAAGTTGTCTTAGCTTTTCTGCTAATATTTCTGTTGTTTACTTGCTTACAGTTAGATTTTTAATCCCTGTAAAGTTTATTTCTGTGTCTAATATGCAGCAGGGTATGGCTGTGTTTTCCTCCAGACGGATAGGAAATTATACACAATTACTTATTAAGTAACACATAGTACATGCTTTCCTCATTGACTTGAAACACATTTGTCACATTAAATGTTCGTAAATTGCTGGCTTCTCTTCTGGACTATATGCCTTCCCGCCTGCGTGTTTAGTTTTCGCAGAAACCACCTGCTGTGTTTCCATTGTCTGAGGGCCTCCTCCCCTACTGTGTTTTTTCAAAATCTTGGCCACATTTGAAAATTTATTCTTCCACTTGAATTTCAAAACTACTTTGTCATGTTAAAAATTCTACTTTCTAGTAAATCAAACAGGCTAAAGAAACTTGGCGATTTTTCTAGTAAGATATAGATGACCAAAATTGTCTGGAGAACAGGTAAAAGACAAAACTGATTTCACTGATAACCGTGGGAGAAATTGGGCAAGTTGTTCAAGAGACGCTATTGAACGAGAACAAAGCCCCAGTGGCTTTATAAGAGAATTTAAGCCAGGACTGCCTGGATGGCTCAGTCAGTTAAGCGTCTGACTTCGGCTCAGGTCATGATCTGACCGTCTGCGGGTTCGAGTCCCGCATCGGGCTCTGTGCTGACTGCTCAGAGACCGGAGCCTGCTTTGGATTCTGTGTCTCCCTCTCTCTCTGCCCCTCCCCTGCTTGTGCTCTGTCTCTCAAAAATAAATAAAAATGTAAAAAAATAAAAAAATAAAAAAAAAAAAAAAAAAAAGAATTTAAGCTAACCACAAAGAAAGTAGATACATCTTACTATTTGAACTATCCCAGTCTGGGGGGGCAGGTGGAAAACGTCATGATCAACAGCTGGCGATAGAAAGGGAAACATCCCAGGTGTTGTGCTCACACAACTCGAAAACCTCCCAGAGGCGACTTCAAGGCAGCGCCCTGGTGCGTGTGTGAGGAAAGGCAGGACATCTGACATGGGGACAGAGCTGCCACAGTCCTGGACGGGAACATTTCATAGGATGAAATATCGCGAACTCTCAAGGCACGGTGTCGGAATACCGTGCCTGCGGCCAGGATCCGACGGTGGGGGCGTCTGCGTGACCAGCGGGCCACCCGGCTGACCCCGGGGCATGACCCAGACTCGGCCTGCTCTGAGGGGACCCACAGACTGCCCGCCTGTGCCTGGCTGTGGCCGGCGCTCGCCCCACTGCCGACAAACCCAGGCTGTGTGGAAGGGGGTGGCCCTCGGAGGCTCCTTACCTGTAAATAATACTGTTTACCAGGAAGGTGTTTCCGTCGAAGGAGTTTGCGACCACCAGGAAATAATCTTCTCCCACCGAGAAAAACTCCCAGTCCAGAGCGCTGCGGAGACAGGTGAGCAGGCATCAGTGGCAGCCGGCGCTCTAGCTTCCAGCCCGTTCCCCCAGGCGCAGAACCCCGGGCCCACTGCCCACCCAAGATCCAGAGCGATTTCGTGACACGGTGCATGGGTCCGTTCCGGGGAGGTGCGAACTGGTCATTCACTTTAAAAACGTTTTTTGAATTTAAATCATAAAATACAAATGGCATAAAATTTTCATCCCGTCCATTTTTAAGCATACAGTCGAGCAGTGTTAAGTACGTTAATAACACTAACATCGCCACTGTCCGTCTCCGGAAACTTCTCGGGTCCCCAAACTGAGCCTCCGTCCCCATGAAACACTAACCCTGCGTCCCCAGCCCTGGCCCCCACCCCGCTCCCCGTCTCTGAAATGCAAGCTCGAGGGGCCTCGTACGAGTGGAATCACACCGTTTTGGCCTTTGGTGACTGGCCTATCTCACTCGCTATGACGTCCTCGAGGTCCGCCGTGTGGTGGCCTGTGTCACAGCCCTTTCAAGGCCGGATGACCCTCCACCGTGTGGAGGGACGGTTTGCTTATCCCTCCGTCCGCCCACGGGTGCTTGTGCTGCCGTGGAACGAAGACAAAACTCCGTCACTGTGAAGAGCGGGGAGCCAGCGGAGAAGAGGTCCCCAGCTCGCGGTCACTCCGCGGGGGCGTGCAGAGCCCCTGGAAGCAGGAGTGAGGGCACGGGCTTGCCCCTCGGCTCCCTGCTTGGTACCTGCTCAGGTGCCGACACAGAAACTTCCTCCTGCGTTCAGAAGCTCTGTTTCTCATCCCATGCCCCACCCCCTGCCGCCGCACTCCTCTTGGATGGGGAAGCCGAGGCCACCGCTGTGCGGCAGGCGGGATGCGGCCGGGCGCCCAAGGCCAGGCCACTGTGTCTGCGTCCAGCATCTCAGAGCCGTGGCCTGTTCAGGGGGTGGAGGGCCACCCGTGTTACTGCGGACTTGCCTCTGGGCGCCTTCCTTGTGGGGGCCGAGGCGCTGGCCTAGAGCAGGGGGCTCACGCGGCCCCTGGGACACTCGGGGGCATCGCCTCTTCTCTTCCACGACCAGGTTCGTGTCTAGGGCCGCCTCCAGTGACGGCCAGTTATGATTCGGCTCCAAATGCTCCCCGAGGAGAGGCCGGCCACGCCTTCCTTCGCCTGTGCGGTGTGGCCGCGGGTGACGGGCAGGGTGGTGCCCCGGGAGGTAGTCATCCAGAGGCGGCGGGTTCTCGAGTCAAGGCGCGTGGGACTCACGCTGTCTGCACCAGACTCTTAGCAGAGGCCAGCTTTGCTTTAACGCGGTAGAAACGGAGGCGTCCAGCCGTGAGTCCCTGCTGAGCCCCCAGAACGGGTATATCTCTGTCCTCCAGAGCCACACCGTTTGGTCAAGATGGAGAGACCCACATGTCCATCATCTAGGGGGGTACACAAAACGGATCCGCCCACGCATAATGGAGTATTATTCGGCCAGTGCTGACACACACCGGAGCGTGCGTGAACCTTGAGGAGCACGCTGAGTGACAGCGGCCAGGCACCAAAGGCCACCTCCCATATGACTCCACGTCTTGGAAACATCCAGAATGGGGAACCCCGTGGAGACAGAAAGTAGAGCCTGGTTGCCAGCGTTGGGGTGGGGGCAGGAGGGGCAGCTGAATGGTAGGGGTTCTTCTTGGGGTGATGGAAACGTTCCAAGTTACCTGGTGGTGGTTGCACATCTCTGTGAATTTAATAAAAATCACTGAATCGCAGCCAAGCAACCAGCCACAGTGTTGGAAAGCGGTGAGAGCCGAGCCCACAAATACAGTAAAACCTTGGTCTGCGAGCGCAGTTCGCCCTGGAAACAGGCTCGTCATCCAAAGCACTCGTATCTCAAAGCACATTTCAAGAACCGCTGGCTCAGCTGGGGTCACGTGACGCCGGGCGTGTGGCAAGACGTCGCGCGTTTGCCAAGTCGAAGCTTATTCGAGACGGTGGCTCGTCGTGCAGACTCGCAATCCAGGTTTTACCGCAGAGGCCACGGAGTCCGTCAGCGGGCCCAGCGGGAGGTTCGCAACGTGTTGAGGAGTGAGGCCACGTCACGCCCCGGGCGGCCGCGCACCGCGCCTCAGGCGGCCGCCGCGTGTGCCCTGGGAGTCTCGCGCGGGGCTCAGAGCCGTGCCGCCCTCGCCGGGTGGGCCCCAGCGGGCAGCGCAGGCAGCCGACGCCTCAGAGCCCCTGGGACGCCGTGCCCTGCCCTTCTAGCCGGCCCCCAGCCTTGAGGCGCACCTGCAGGTGGTGATCTCCTGGAACCTGACGAAGGTCTGCGCGGTGACATTCAGCTCGTAGATGACCGAGTTGATGACGTAGGAGTCGTTGCGTGCTTCCATTTCCACGTCGTAGCTGTGACTGTTGGCGACGGCCAGGAAGACCCTCTCTCCGATGTGAAACACCTCCCAGTCCGCGGCGCCGAACGTCTGGGACAGAAAGAGGAGTGCGGGGGGGCGGGCGTGAAGAGAGGCCCTCGGAAGGGTCCCGGCGCGGCCGCGGGGAGACACCCCTAACCCGCAGACGCGGCTGGGGCCCCGCTGTGCTGCAGGCGCCAGTCGGGTGGCGGTCCCCGTCTGGCTTCGCTCGCTTTCCCGGCCTCGTCGCCACCACTCCTGTCCTGAGGGTGGGTGCCCAGCTGCACCCACGCCCGAAGAGGTCATCTGTGCAAAGTGCCCCTTAGCCTTCTGAGTCCCCCACTCCCCCATGCGCAATGCTGCCCCTCCGGCTGCTATGACACCTCTTCCAGGGGGCCCTCCCTGCTTCCTCCAGTCCTGGCTCTGACCTCGGGAGCAGCCTCTAGATAGTTGTGTTCCTCACCACACGCTCTCCCTGGCCTGAGGCTTTCTTCGGACCCCGTCGGCAGCCCCGTCTCTGGGCTCCCACGCAGGCTGCTCGTCCACAAATCACTTACAGCCCTCGGGGGTGAGACGCACGTGGCGCAACGGGGCCGGACTTGGACACGAGTGGCGAGCCGTGGAGCCTTTGCCCCGACCTCCAGCTGCACGCGCTGATTTGCACGTGGGGCCCACGAGGAGGAAGTTCATGTCCGGTTTATGGCCAGCATCTCAGGGATTGTGGTGACGCAGGTGGTGCAGGGAAGGAGAGGACCCGAGGGGTCCGGGTCCGGGCCCTGGGTCTGAGCCCCGGAGGGAGAGGGCGGGGGCGGAAATGAACGGAGACATTTTCCCGGGAAAACCAGGGGCGGGCACAGGGAGAGGCCCTTTGGGCGACAGAAAATGGTAGGGGCCGAGGAGAGGGAGAACGCGGTCGCTCCCCGGGGCGGGGTCTGTGGCCGATGGGAGAGCATGTCAACGCCCAGGGGAGCCTGAACCACAGCAAGTGCAGGCGGCCGGGCCTTCAGTTCCCACGTCCGCAGGAAGGGGGTTCTGTTGACCCCATCTGCCCCCACGGGCTGGTGAGAGCTGCAGAAACTCTCCAGTGGCACACTTTGCATTGAGGTTGTCTTTAAAAGTTTGCCTCCAGGGGCACCTGGGGGGCTCAGTTGGTTAAGTGTCCGACTTCAGCTCAGGTCACGATCTCATGGTTCGTGGGTTCAAGCCCCACGTCAGGGCTGACAGCTCAGAGCCTGGAGCCTGCTTTGGATTCTGTCTCTCTCTCTCTCTCTCTCTCTCTCTCTCTCTTTGCCCCTCCCCTGCTTGTGCTCTGTTTCTCTCTCTCAGAAATAAACATTAAAAAAAAATTGTTTTCTTTGAAGTTTGCCTCCTGACTTTCGGCTTCTGATGGTGGCAGAGGGCTGCCTGTTAGACTGACCCCTGCCGAAAGCAACTGTAAACACGACTGTGCGTGTAACTATCGGAAGGTTCTGGAGAGTGGCCAAGGGCAGGCAGAAACTGAAGGGGCCGTGATCCTTGAACAAAGGGAATCACATGCACAAGGTGTGTGCTTGTCTGACTTTTCCTCTGAGGACTGTCCTTGTCCCACTGCACGTGGGCATTGCACTCGGGTGGGTGCAGCAGGCTGACTGGCTGGGGGTCTTGAGGGCAGAGTCTGGAGTTCCCAGAGTGTCTAGAGACAGAAGAGGAATATCCGAGGGAGGAGGGAGGCACAGAAGGGGGAGCCCTGATGTCTCCCCGTTAACCTCTCTCAAGTCCTTGTCTGGCTCCCGAACTGCACACATGGGGCGAGTTTCCCGGGACCCACAGACAAACAACAGGCGAGAGGCCAGAAGCGTGAGCAGGAGGCAAGCGTGACCCCTGATCAAGAGAAAATACTGGACAGAAATGTACCAGCGGTGCCAATACTGAAGCTGCACGAGCCACGATGACTCTGATGAGAGTGTAGGGAAAAGGGCTGGGACGGGGAGCCACCCGGCCGGCCCTCCAGAGGGCGTCAGGGAGCCAGAAGGGAGACCCCTGGCGGTTGCCCAAACTGAAACACACGAAGGGGATGGTAACAAACAAGAACACAACGGGGATGATGCAATGCGATCAACGCACATACAGCTGGACCTTCCAGAAGGAAAAGAGAACGAGGCAGAAGAAAACATTTAAATCAAAATCTTCCCACATTTGATTAAAAACACCAAACCACAGATCCAAGATCAGAGACCCAACGCAGAATAAACACAAAAATCCACGCCCAGACACGTGGTGCTCAAATCACTGAAACAGAAGACAAGGCGAGAACCTCAAAGGCAGCGGGAGAAGACACATTCGCTACATCAGCGCAGGGACGGCCGTGCCTGTGACCCCGGACTTCTCACTGGAGACCAGGGGTGCTCAGTGTCAAAGGAGAAACATCCTCAAAGTGTGTGAGCTCTGAATTCTAAAACTGGTGAGATTATCCTTCACAAATGAAAGTGAAACGAAGCCCTTTTTAGACAGAAGTGACAATGATTGCCAGCAGCCCTGCTTTGCAGGAAAAGCTGGAGGCCACTGCCAGGGCTGAAGGCGGACCCTGCCGGGCTGAGCCAGGGTCTGCCGCACAGATGCTCAAGGGCGCTGGAA